GTGCCACTTGGCCAGCCCAATAGTTCAATTTTTAATACCCCTAACTTTTCATTTAAAAGTAAGACCTCAACAAGAAGGTTTTAGGTTAGCGAGTTTCCTTTCATGAAATACTATGGCATTTTTAATTATCTGTCCCAAATGAGTAGGATTTCAAGATACTACAGATACTGACTTAAGCTATGTTTTTATTCACACATGATATAAAAGGGACTGAACGCATAAAGTGAAAAGGAGAGAGGGTAGCCATATATACTTAGAAAACATAGCTGCCTATCAATCAAAAACAAAAACAAAACCATTATCAACAGATTATTCAAACTTCCTGTGAAGCAGCAATTTCTACTGAAACTGTTGCTTCGCTTTTGGAACCAATCACTGATCTTACAATACATCCAGTAACCTGTAGCTTGTTTTTAAAACTTACTTGGAATAGCCTTTTTCTAAAAAGAAAAAAACAAAACACCAGTCACCCAAATTTTATAACTGAGCTAAATAATCTGACTGCATTAATATGTCACATCTTATGACTTCAGTGAAAGGCCTCTTAATGATATACATTGCATTCTCAGAATTTTCATTTTTACAGTGTATCGAGAAAGGAATGTTAGCACTCTGATTTTTATATGTGCCTGTGTTCATTTATTCATTCTGTCACTTATTCATTCAACACAATTTAAATGCCTGCTATGTAAAAAATATTCATGAACAGCCAACTGTACATATTTCTTCTTTTAATGCAACCAACTACATAAACCCACTCCAATCTCCCCAACCTCAGACAGAGCCCCAATTAAGCTGTCCTGGGCTAGTCATTTTACCAGAACTGGTGGCAAATTTGAGTGAATATCTAACATCATATCTTTTTGAATGACTTGTTTCCTTGAAACTTCTTATACACTGATGCTACGTTGAATTACTATTTCAGAAAATCTCTTTGCACATATCCTTTTACACTCTTTTCATTCAAATCTTGCTGCTAAAATTTTTCTCTCATCTATTTTTCCTTTTGCTAAGCCCCAAAGGCCCTAAACCTATGTGATAAAGTTTAAGAGTAACAGTAATGTTATGTTGGTATCAAGGAAAAGGAAGTTCATCAACTTGATTTATATTATACAAAATAAAAAATATAATCAACCACTAAAGTCCCTGGTAATCACCGCTAGACCCCTTCATATTCCCAAAAGAAAAAAAATGTATCTATTCTCTAACTAGGCCTGGATTTCTTCAAGCACCTAGCACTATAGATAATTTAAGAGCTGTTCCTAGACTGTATTAATCTTTGGTACATTTATTAGTATTGTAATGTTTCCTCCCTACTGTTTTTCATTGCAAAAACACATAATTTGAGTTGTTGAGATAAAAAGGTTTTAAGGAGTTAGCATAGAAACCTAAACCTACTTTGTAACATTGTTTCTATGGGAAAAAATGTACTAGATTCGAAACAGCTGATATTCAGACTAAATTTGAGAGCTCAACCTATTAGAAAGTTAGAAACTTCCTGTTCCATGTTGGATATGCTGTGACACAGGAATTGTACTAACTTCATACGCTTCAGCAGCTAATCTAGTTCTAATCAAGACCGATGACACAGCTGAGTAAGAGAGGGAGCTGATTCTAGGATCTATCAAGAGATTTATTCAAGCAGTCTTTTTAGATCTATTGCAGCTTGCCTGGAGTTAATGGAATCCACATGACCTGCCTAGAGTTGATTGGAATCCTGAGGGTGTCTGAGACTCAAAAAGGGCCTAATAGGAATTCTCTACTTCAAGGATGACCTAGAAAGACACTAATTCAATCCACTGAACCTGAAGTCTCAAACTTGACTTACCCAGGAGAGAACCAAATTCCAGAGGTGGGAAAGTGGGATACTTGTTTTATCAATGTTTATCCAATAGCCACTCCAGTTTCATCAGAGCTTTACTTGGCTCCATTAGCTATCTACTAGGGACAATAACAGTCACTTTGGTTCCATAAATCTTATAATATTTTAGTAGAAATACAATTCTATTTTATACTCTCACCTACACTTTATTCATGAAAGTTTAAAAGATCTCTGAACAATGGTACAATTAAATTGACACTAAAGAAATTAATAAGATTACAATTAAACAACATATTTAATGTTATATACAAACCTGAATACTCCATGACTTCTTCAGGGGATTTGCCCTCCACCTCTCGAGCTATATTATCTATGTCATCTCTTCCATACTTCTCATTAGCTTTAATAAACTGGTTAAAATCTCGCTTAGTCCAGTTTGTGAATCCCTGTGAAAAAAATTAAACATCATCAATCAAGGTTAAATTAACAAAGCCATTGATTGTTCTATTTACTTCTATACAATGATACATTAAAATATTTTAAAAGATTTAAAATGTTCTTCTTCATATAATCCCAGGTATTTTATGTTAGAATCAAACATTGAGTAAGCATTATTTATAAAAATAACTGCTTTTCTATCATGAAGAGAATGTACTTCTCTTCAATTACTAAAAACTGATTTATAGTTCTAATATACTGTGTAGTTTTTAATTCCATATTTTACAGATGCCTACATTAAAATACAAATGCATTAAAATGAAAATGCTACTATAAATGCTGATGTCCTGATATTCCAGAACTCCATTTTTTTCTGTATTTTTAAATTATTTTTAGTTTTTAATTACAGTTGACATTCAATATTTTATATTAGTTTCAGGTGAACAGCATAGTGGTTAGACATTTATATAATTCACGAAGTGATCCCCCTGATTAGTCTAGTACCCACCTGGCACTATATCTGTCCCCAGGTAAATTAAGGGAGGAATGTGGATGCATTAAATCAAAAAAAACATGAAGGAAAAAAAGAATGCAGAAAAAAATTGTAGCTCTTTGTATCATTCCAAATACATAAGTAATTTCTGTTCAAAAGTATATTCACAAATAAAATTTCTATAAACAGAATTTTATTGGGCCCACTCAATTTCTTTACTAAAACTTTACTAGACCAGTTTAACCAGTCAGTGTTTTAAAATTCTAAGCATGTCTATGAAGTCACAAGATCAAGAATTTGTTTTCGGGCCGGCCGAGTGGTGCGATGGTTAAGAGCTGGCTTGGGACGCCAGAGGGCCCCGGTTCGGATCCCACATATGAGGGCCAGTGACACTGCCCTCNCGGCTGCTCAGCTCGGGCCGGGAATCGAACCACTGTTGCTCAGAGCTCAAACTCTTGAGCGAGCTCTTAACCAACTGAGCCACTCAGCCGGCCCTAAAATGTATGACAACCTGACATCATGTGCCTGCTGATGTGAGGCAATAAGAAATACACATCACTTACATTGCATTCTTGCCAAAAAAGCTTAACCTAAATCTAACAATGAGCAAAAAATGAGATGTGGGGCATTTTACAAGACAAAGAGTCATTGTTGTGAAAAAAAAAAGTCATTGACTGAAAGACTAAAGAGACTCAACAGCCAAATGTAATGTGTGAACCTTGACTGGACCATCAAGTTTAAGAAACAGCTATGAAAGGCACTTTTGGGACAGTTGAAATTTTTGTACATTGACTGTATACCAGATAACATTACTGAATCAATGTTAACATTTTGGGGGAGAATAATGATATTGTGGTTATGTGGGAATATGTCTTTATTTTTAGGAGATGAATGCTGAGATATTTACCAGGTGAATACAAATGATGTGTGAAACTTACTTTCAAATGGTTCAGAAGTATAGATATGTATATTTGTGAATATAAAATACAGGTATGTTTTAATATAGATGTGTTTCTTATTTCTGAATACTAAATATAGACTCTACATGTATATATAAATTTTAAGTATATATGTATGTTTAAGTATATAACAAATATACACACATATGTGGATGGGGGGGAGAAAGCCAATGCGGCAAAATGTTAACAATTAGAGAATCTAAGTGAAGAATACATAAAATGTGAAATTTTCAAAATAAAAAGTTGGAAGACATAAGGAATACATACCATGGCTGTTCTAGACTTGATAAACCAGTCAAATCTAAACTGAGGCGCATTCCGTACACACTGCCTTAATTCTTCATACACGTTTTCTCTATCAAAGCCCATTTTGTGTAACATACAAATCAAGAATCTATCTTCTTCCTCAGTATAGTTCTTTCCTTTGTTGGTTCCATACTGAATACGTAACTGATGAAATGGAGCCTTGTATCTTGCAATCTATAGATTTAAACAAAATAGCGCTTTTAACTAAATGTGCAGTAATAAGTCAAAGCTAATCACCATATCAATTAAAACAATCTACTAATATTTTAACAGTTATGAAATACAGTACTTTGGCATCCAGGGCTTTCTTGATACTGATCTTTCGTTGAATTCTCGCTTCTCCACGTTCAATTTGAGCCATAATTTTCTCAATGTCCTGTAATTCATTGCAACGTTCCCAAAATACAGCTGAAAAACAGAGTTATTACTTTACAACACTACCATCTTAAGCAAATGAATCCAAGGAACTGCAGAATAAAATTAACAGGAGAGGATATAGTAAAATTATACTGTTTAAAAATCAAGATTCAGATTCATCTGTATGTACTAGTTCAATTTTGATTTTTT